AATCTTAACTTAATAAAAACTTTAACTTTTAAAAAATTAATTTTTTAATATAAATTTTTATATTATTGGTTAAAAATTAATATAATATTAAAACTAAAAATAGAAAATTTTGTATAACTATAGTAGAAATGGTAATTTATAATGGTGAAAATAGGGCTCCCTTATTTAATTTAAGAAAATATTAAATAGTGCACCTGTATATTTAGTACACCCCTCTTTGTAGAAATCTAATAAGTGTAATATTAGTTTAATATAAGAATTAAGGTTAAAACAGAGGTTGTTTTATTAGTAAAATTGTATAAAGAATATTTTTTATTAGTTATACAACAAGGCTACCCTAGTAAAATTTTGCATTATAAGCAAATAATTTAAATATACTATAATTTATGCAAGAGTTAGAGTTAGAGTTAGAGTTTTGGTTTGATTAGGCTTAAAATTGCATAACAAATATTTTTTATTAGTTATACAATAATGTTATCTTAATAAAATTTTGAGATACAGGGAGGTGCACCAAATACACAGTGCACCAGATAACAATGTCCTTTAATTTATATAAAAGAGGAATCTCTTTTAGTATAGGTGAGAATATACTGTATAAATTTTTTTTTTTTTTTTTAAATCTTCAAAGGTGAGGCCATGCCTCTATCTTTATTAAAATCTAATTAAACTTCTTTACAAATAAAAATAAAGAAATTACATTATTTAAACTTTATATCCAGACAGAGCCCTTGCTAATTCAAAAGTTATAGGAGTTATCTGCGACCTAAACCTATACTGTATAAATTATTACAAGATTATAATATATAAAACCTAACTAATTTGAGCTAATTTAAATTCTAACCTTAACCCTAACTCTAATAATATATAAAATTATCTAAATTAGTTCAAAATAGTTAATTTATATATATTATAATTGTATAATAATTATATATGCCTATCTATACTAAAGATTAACCAAAAAAAGATTTAATCCCAAATTTTTTTACAAGTTTTTAAATATTTTTAATTAATTTTGCATGGCCTAAGGGAACCATGGGTATTATGGCGCGGAGGGGTATTGTGGCGCACTTATGTTTTTCGATGATATCTTGCGATCCACTGATCTGAATCGAATAATTTTAGTACCATTCGATTCGTCTTAGCGAGACGAATCAAATGGTATAAAAATTGGATTAGTTGGATCGATAGACTACACGATAGATGTAAAATTCTAATAGAAATTCTATTAAAATCTGTAATGTTTATCAAACTAACCCAAAAAATCGATTACACGTGATTAGAACATCCAATAAGAAATGCGATAATTATTCGCACCTATTTCATGTATAATGAGTTATTTTTGGGAAGGGGTAAACTATAAAATTTAAAAAATACTGAGTAAAATTTATTGATTTATATTAAAATTCACCTTGGCACTAATCGTGTTTGCTATATATCCTTTTGTGAAATAAACAAAAAGATTCATTTTTTAAATACGACTTTTTTTGCTCGCGAACAATTGATTTTATAAGCGCGTAATTACTTAAACAATTGCCTTAAACTTATGCAGTATACCATTTTAGCAAATTACTAGAATTGCTTTAGTACGAATATGAAATCTGCTATTTTTATAGCAAACTAGGCCATTAATAGAGACGAACGAAATTGTGGTTTTAAATAAAAAATCAAATCACGATTGTTTTGCTTCATATACTCTTTTTGTTCTATATAATTATGATCATAATCATTTATTCTTGTAATCATAATCACAATTTTTTTTATATGCGATTATAATTTTATGTCATACAATTAAAATCAATTAAAATTGTCATAAAATTAATTAATAGCGAAATAATTGCAATTAATTGCAATTACCGTAAAATCCGGACACGTGTACCCCGGGTATTTCCATTACTCAATTTTGTACCCGGGATACCTCTATATGGGGGGTACGCCGTATTGAGACAATATGTTTTACTATATCTACCTGGGATGATATATATAGTATGTATAATACCTATGTACCCAGGTATAAGTCACCAACTGGCCCTTAAAACTGCTAGGGGTACACGTCATGGGGAGGTATACGTGTCCGGATTTTACGGTAAATCAATTTTATCATTACATTACTCTAGTTTGACGCAATAACTTAATAGAATCTTGGCAAATATATGATACGTAGTCTAATTACATAAAAATCCAATTGTGGCTGCGTCACAATCAATTAATTGAGTTCGAAAATTGCAATTAATTGCCCATACAATCAATTATTCAGTAGGCCTAATATATAAAGTAAAACAATCACGATCATAATTGCAATTAAAACAAACGCAATAATAATTTTAAATAAAGAATCAATCGCAATCATGATCAAGAATGCAACAAATAAAATTATAATCTTATACATTCAAGTACGAAATATATAAATGCCCTAAATTTGTGATTAAAAAAAAAAAGGTAAATTAATAAAATTAATAAAATCAAATCAAATCGAAAAAAAAAACACAAAATGAGCTCCAAAATTGCATTCAAACCCAAAGCCAAAGTTACACCTAAATCCAAAAATGCGTCTAAATCCAAAAATACATCTAAATCCAAAATCATCAAAACCGTAGTCAAACAGAAATCAAAACCTCAACAAAATCGAACTGCACATATACATGCTATTGAGTCTGCTCTTAAGGCTCTTGCTAGCCCTGGAAAACTTAGTACTCGGGAAGCTGCATTAAGATACGGGGTTGCTGAAACGACTTTAAGACATGCTAAAAAAAATGGCTTGCCTAACCGTTCCGGCCCTTCAACAATTTTAAGTACCCATGAAGAAGAACAGTTAGTAGGCTATTGTTTGAATATGCAAAGATTAGGGTTTGGTCTTACACGATCTGGTGTAAACCACTACATGATGAATATTGTAGGAAGTAACAACCGTGATCATCCTTTTAAAAATAGTGGACCTGGTGAGGCCTGGTGGATGCGTTTTATGAGAGATCATTCTGAGTTGTCTTTTCGTACGCCTCAGGCCTTGTCGGAGGCACGTGCACAGAGAGCAAATCCAATTATTATTAAAGATCACTTCGATAAACTTCATAAAATAATCGAAGAACATTCACTTACTGCGGACCGAATCTGGAATATGAACAAAACCGGTTTTGTCATATCCCCCAAGATACAAAAGATCATTGCTAAAAAAGGCTCTCGACAAATCCACAAAGTTTCACATGGAAACTCCCACGACCATATTTCTGTCGCCCCGACAATTTCGGCTGCTGGCAGCTATATACCGCCCTTAATTATTTATAAGGGCATTCGTGCAATTTCCAATTTGTTAGATGGTGCCCCGGCTGGCACTGTTATAGGCTTTACCGATTCGGGGTATATGCGAGAAGATTTATTTCAAATGTACATTGAACATTTCATCAATTTTATTCCTCCAAGTCGTCCAGTTCTTCTAATGCTTGACGGTCATAAGAGCCATATAAACTATATGTGTGTTAATTTTTGTTATGAAAACGGAATTTTGTTATATGCGCTCCCACCACATACGACGCACATTCTCCAACCTTCTGAGCTTCCTTTTTCTAAGCTCAAAACCGAATACAGTAAAGCTTGCGCCAAGCTTCACAATGAAACTGGCGAGCTAGTTACAAAACGCACATTTGCTAAAATGTTAGGACCAGCATTCATAAGTACTTACACTCCTGAAGCAATTATTAATGCTTATAAAGTTATGGGAGTTTGGCCTTTGAATCCTAATGCAATTAGTCCAGATCGTCTTGCTCCCTCTCTATCTACAGAACGAATCGATATGTCATCTTCATCCCAACAAACTGATCAAGAGTTATCTTCAAATACCATACCAAATTTTCAACAAATTCATATATCATCGTCTCAACCAGTTCATATATCATCATCTCAACCGATTCATATATCGTCATCTCAACCAATTTATCACTCCTCTATGCCGTCTTTCCAGTCAGGTTATCATTTCACTCAAGCCAGTACTGCAAGAGAGAACGAATTATTAAAAATGGAAATCGATTCTTTAAAAAAAGAAAACATGGTATTAAAAGAGGAACTCGAGACATTTAAAAATCCCGATACCTGCTCACTAAAATTGGCTCTTAAGTATCCTACCTCCCGAGTTCCAACACAAGCCAATGAATCAGAGCCCCAACAATCAAAGAAAAGAAAGACTTTCCCATTCACTCGACTTCTTACTAACAAAGAATCTCTACAAATGTTAAAAGAAGCAGACGAGTCAGCAAGAAGCAAAGTAGAAAGTGCAAAACGAAGAAAAGAAGAGGCAGCCCAGAAAAAAGCCGATAGAGAAGTTAAAAAAGCCCAAAAAAAGGCTGAAATGGAGAAAAAAAAAGAAGAACGTTTACAACGTTCTCGTAAAAAAAAAGATCATCTCATGTAGATATGGATATTACTAGTACTGTTCCGTTTATGATATTTTAATATGTAAAATATCAATAAAGTAATTCATGCAGTATGTAAATCTTAACCTGCACGGTGCGCCATAATACCCTCAACCCGAAAAAAACATAACAATTTTTTGACGATTTTTGAACGTTCAGTGTACTAAATTTTTTTAAAAAGTGCAAGCTTTTTTTTTTATCATTAGTTAGTAAATCGAATGTATTTTATTTTAGTAAATATTGGGAATAAAATATGCTTTTTTCGAAAATTTTTACTATTAGCAATCGTTGAGTGCGCCATAATACCCATGGTTCCCTTATATTATATAAGATAATCTTTTTTTAAAAAAAATATAATAATTTTTTTGTATAAATTTTATAAATTTATATATAAAATTTAGTATATAATACACGATCTGCGCGACAAATCGTGTGACTGATAATATGCATGTAATGTTGCATTAAATTGGTATTTTAGCCAATAAGATTTTAACATAATGTGAATCAAGAACGATACTTAATGGATGGTCAGCATTTACTATATGTCGTTTTAGCCCTGTCTCTATTCCACTTCAAAATACCTGTTTACGATTACAAACAATGCCAGCTAGTAATGAAAGCAAGTATATAAAAGAAGTATGGGCCGAGAATCTAGAGGAGGAAATGGCGGTTCTTCGTGATCTAGTGGAACAGTACCCTTACCTTGCGATGGTACAAGGTTTTTCACGCATTTTAACTATTCTATTTAATTTTTCGTGTGGTTAACCCCACGCGATCTCATCTTGTATACTTGTTCAAAGCGAACGCGCAATAAATCGGTTGGGTTGAAACTTTGAATTTTTGCCCATTAGGATACGGAATTCCCAGGAGTGGTGGCCAGACCGATTGGCAACTTTCGGACAAGCTCAGATTACCATTACCAAACACTCAGATGCAATGTAGATTTGTTAAAAATTATCCAGTTGGGGATTACATTTGCAGATGAGAACGGCTGTTTACCGCAGGATACTTGTACATGGCAATTTAATTTTAGGTTCAATTTGGCGTAAGTATTTTTGATCGTCAATCTTATCATCGAAAAATCTCTGACGCATCTTAAAGAATGTAGTCGCTGTCAAAAGACTATCACTACCAGCTTGATGTTGAGGACCAATTCGAGAAACCTAAATCAACCAACAAAAAATTGGATGACAAAATATGTTCGTAAAATGAATTAAGTAAAATACAAGATAACAGACCTGTAAATCATCAGCAATATCTTGCAAACCGCCCTTCAAATTCTTGATACTTTTCATGAGGTACTTTATGTCATATATACATGGAAAATACATTTTTAACTGATCAAAAAATTTCGATTCTTCGGCCGGCAGAGGAGAGCATGTGAGTACTTTTAACAAGTATCCAAAATCGTAGCCACTATAATCAATTTTTTTTTATCACCATAAATTATTACCAATGAAAAAAACAACGAAAACGGTCGAATGGTAAAATTAAACCTCAAGAGAAAAAAAAAAGAAGAAAAAATACATTGTATTTCAAAGCTTTTTAGGCTAGAATAAAGTACATTTATTGAAGCTCACCTATGAAAAGATATCCACTTGACATCATCCAGCAATACGAATCCTGAACTGATCAACAATTCACCAAACTGTTCTACG